AAAGAGTTTGAGAACCACTGCACTAGACGGAAGGCGGCTAGTAAACAACACCTACCTCCAGCTCTAGGGCTCCTCTCGTCTTATTAAGTAATGGAATTTGACTGTCATTCTTTTAACGTACCCACAGCTCCATAGCATAAAGCTCAGTATATTTATATATATATTTATAGAAAGTGGACGTGAATATTTGATCCGCAAACCCATAGTTTGGCAAGTTAGCTACTGGGCCACGACTCGGATCTCTTAGGTATTGAGCTGTGAAAAGTAATACATTATGCACCGACTTACATGTAAAATTATAAACAACCAATGAATGCTTATTTTTCAGTACGCCCCCCCCCCCCCCAATGGCATTTGAACGTAACCAGTCGTTTATTACTAATTACTGATTTTAAACTACATTCCAGCTGAGATTCTGGATATTTTATATACATTCTTCAATTAATCCCATTATAAAGCTCTTGAAAATGTTCTAGTACTACACGAAAGTAAAGCTGTCAGTTGTAGTGTTCTATTGCATTGTTTGTTAAGTTGTAGTGTTCTATTGCATTGTTTGTTCAGTTGTAGTGTTTTGTTGCATTGTTTGTTCAGTTGTAGTGTTTTGTTGCATTATTATTTCAGTTGTAATGTTCTGTTGCATTATTTGTTCAGTTGTAGTGTAGCTGCTTAGATTTTTTTTCAGTCTTTATATTCAAATGAAACTAAACAGTGGTAGAAAATTTAGTTTTTCTTTCCTTTTAAACTGAAACCAAATATTCTCTTCCTATTTGTGATTATTTTGATTAGTTTGTTTCAGATTTTTGCGCACATCTAAACACGGGTTATCTTCCAATAACCGTTTCTAGTTCTAAACTGATAAACTAGTCAACAGCATCCATCGCCAAATCTCCTACTTTTATCTGACCGACGATGCGATTTGTTCGAGACTTTTATAACGCAACCATTGCCCCATATTCAATTGGGCGTCTTTACGATAACAGGACGCGAACCATGAACACTCGGATTTACAAACCAGGCATACTCACCAGTAGGCCACGTACAGAAGTATTCTCAATTTTATCAGCAAGCAAAGCTCATAGACATATGCACAGATGATATGAAATGGTCAAGTTAGGTCCATTTCATTGCTAAGACACAGACGAATTAATCTAGCGTTATAGTTTTTTCAGCCACAAGATTTAGTACGAAAAAGGGCGCGTGTCTTAAAAGTAGTAGGTACAGTTTCATGTTAATATAAATTTAGTTTATAAAATTTATTCTGAGATCTAAACTTACAGTTATTCTTATTCCATGCATATTGATTTTTATTAGATTACAGTCTAAGTTTCCAACTAAACGAAGAAATATTATAATTTATGGATAATTATATATAGATATATATATATATATACTAGATGACTCAGCAGTAATGAAATACACCAACGAAAGAAATTGATTGCCAACATGAACATCATTATTCCAGAACCTAAGCCACGAAGTTAAATGTGTCAAATCTACTGAACCTGGAATGGGAGTTCTTTGTTGTAAACACCATGCGATTTTAGGTGGTTTTTACTTAATAAAAGTATCAAAGAACAAACAAAAAATAGTCTTGCTCCATAGAGTATGAGTTTATATTAAGAATTTTGCATGTTTGTTTTTGAGCAAAGCTACACACGATAGGTTATCGGCACTCTGTCCACCACGTAGAATCGAACCCAGGATCTTAGCATTGTAAGTCCGTAAAGTTACAGCTGAACCTCTTGGGGGACTATATTAAAGAAAACTGCGAAGAAAGCAGGATGTATGAACTTCGTTCTAGAGTTTTTGTTTTTAGTTAACCGATTGGATTCGTCGGATCTCACTGTTTATCGATAAATGTTTTTAGATATGACATTTAAGGTTGACTAGCTTTTAGCTTGCTCTCCGGCGGCTCTGCTATAATTCTTAAGGCTTATAACGTTAAAAATATGTTTCGATACTTGCAGTGGACGCAACACAGATAGCCCATTCTACAGCTTTGTGCTTAATCACAAACAAAGCCAATTTTTTCACTTTGAACATTGGCTTCTGTGAATTCCATCCACGGCTCTTAAACCGTGTTTGTTTGTAGTTAAGCACAAAGCTACACAATGGACTATCTGTGCTCTGCCCACCACGGTATCGAAACCTGGTTTCTAGCATTGTAAGACCGCAGACATACTGCTGTGACACTGGGGGGGGGGGGGGGCTTAAACCATGCGCATAATGTTGGTCTTAATGATTTACTAGTTTTATTTTACAACAATCTGTTTTCCGAACTTTCATTCTTACCCATTTTAAACAAGGACTCTAAGTACTCAGTGAATAAATATAGACAGCAGTGTAGATAAACTAAATACTGGTCTCAACATCATAACAGGAAAGAAAATTCGTAGAAGAACTACAAATTGATGTTTGGCTATTTTACGTGTAAATAAAAAAAAGTACTTTAATCCTAATGTAATGTGATGTTTGCATAAGGCTGTAAAATAAACCAAAAATAAACGACTGGTGCCCCTAGTTAAGTTAACAAACTAGGATAACCCCAATTTTTCTATTTTCATAAATTTTGAGCACCTGTATTCTTTAAAACATACGTATGTGTATATAAGTATGTATTAAACCAGCTGTCTTACAAATTAAGAAGTGTTATCTATCTGCTGTGTCCATCGCAGGGAATCGAACCCCCAATTTTAGCGTTGCAAGTCCGTAGACTTACCGCTGTCACACCGTGGGACGTTTCAAACGAAGGAAAGAGAAACCTAAGGTAGGCAACACAAAGAAAAATTTTTTTAGCTGAGACTGCGTTGGTTTTAAATATGATTTCATTTTACACCTATGTGCTTGTTAATAATCATAAATATTTGATTGAAATGTAGGTTTAAATACAAAAGACATAATAAAATAAACTTGACACTCCCTCAAACGTTGAAAATTAATTAATCGTCCTTATACATACGTCAGATCCCTTGAAACGTTTAAGTATTTCTAAAGTACAAAAAATTGGCATAAAGGACAAGAAGAACTCGTGAACAGAAATACAAACAAATAAGAAAATTCTATGTTCACTTCTATCATTTGAGTTGAAATCGTGAACAACAGAATTCTTATAATTTAATCAAGTTCTAAGTTTACTCAAGATGTAACATTTTAATACTTATACACTGTAGTTTGATAGAGACTTATCTGAAAAATGAAATATCATATTTTGAGGGGATTATCAATCCTGTAAAGAAGGATATGATAATAACAAGAATATGTATTTCCTGGGATGAAATTCATTAAAGATTCAAATTTATTATACTACCTATTTTTTTTTATAATTAGCGTTAAACAAAACAACGTGTTGTCGTTAAGATAAATCAGTAAAGGTCATAACACATGTTATATTTTAGTGTTTTATATTAATGTGATGAATTGCATTATTCACTGCATGGAATACATTCATTAAAAAGACAAGCATATTCCTGAGACATTACAAAAGTCTAATAGTTTGCCAGGATTTAAACATTATGATGTCGATAGCGAAAGCGAAATCATTGGCCCAACACTCAAACCATGAGAGGGAAACTTACTTTGAAAAACATTTCAGATGAGAGTTAAAAACATAACTTTTCGCAAGTAATCTTTCCCATTGACAAACGTCGAAAGAAACATTGATATTTTATTCCAAATAACGAATTAGATTGATACCGAATTACTGAAACTTTTTTGTTTGAGGTATTTTGAAATAAAACACATCTTTAAAAAAGAATGAAATCCGCACAAACTGTCAAAAATAGCCCAGGAAAGAGATTGATGTACTAATAAACTGCACAGAATTTGCACAGAAAAGAGGTTGAAGTAAGGACAAAATGCTAGACTTTTCTCACAAAGAGATTGAAATTGAAATAAAATTACAGCATTTGGTCAACAATAGAAGTTAAAGCCTGGACAAAACGACAGACTTTGATTAAGAACGGAAATAAAAGACTGAGGAAATTATAGTTTTTGATTAATTAGAGAAGTTGAAGTCTGTTTCGTAAAAAGTTTACATCTACATAACTTATTGTAAATAAACGAAATTGTACACGACTTTCTGAAAAAATGTGTGCTACGTTTAACAAAAAATATTATCTTATCATTATAACACAAATCAGGCTAAACTTTTGTTAAACGTTGAGTATTTTCTTATCGCTATAACTTTAGTTCTTAGCCCGTGACACGGCTTATTCCCAAATTATTCACACCGTTTTGTTTTCTCCATTTAGTTTTAAGTGTTGTTTCTTTCTTTTCTCTAAACGCAATAAAAAATTAATTCTTACCAAAAAACAAGTTACTGTTCACTCAGTACTTTTGTTAGGATGAATAGTTAGATATCGTTTTTACATTCTTATACAAAACCCAAAATAAAGATCAGAAAAAATGAAAAAATATTTAAGTATTGTGTTTACATTTTTGTATAAAACTTTAATTTAAATAATTTAAAGACCAACAGGTACGGAAAAACGTTAACCATCAGGTTACGGTTCAGTTTGCTCAAACTGCCCTAAAAAATATTCATAAAAATACTAACTACACATTTCGATACAAAATTGTTCACTGCTAGAAATTTAATTGTGACATTAGTTATCAATATGTACCTCATAACATTGGGCATTTCGAAATTTTTTGATTGGTCACTTCTCATTTGCAAAAGAACACAAACTTAAAGAAACGTAGAATGGATATTTTATGTGTATTTTAGAACTCCATAGAAATACAAATGACGCTATATTACCAGTCTTTTAACGTTAAAAAAATCCTCGGGCGTTTGTATACAACAGGTAGAAATGTTTAATGAATGATTGTTGTATTTTTATTAAATTTCCATTCGATAAATTTGTAAATTCACTTTCTTCTCAAGTGATTTCCTTATACAAAATTATTTCACATATCTATTATTCTCTCTCTTTATTCTATATATACGAATACACAGTTGTGGATAATACCACATTAACGAGCTAGATACTACTGCGTACCTTGAGTCAAACTTGACAACAGGACACTTGTTGCTATGGTGGAAGAGGATTGTGAGTCACTAGGCAACCAAAAGACGAGTTCCGAGCTGAAGTTCTACAAGTTATCAGATGTCTCCAAGTCTTAGGGCGCACCGACATTTGAAGAGTACACGGAATCGCGTAGGCGCAAATGCTCGTTCTGATTGGATAAATCTGAGTGAAGTTCAACACCTAACTTTGCTAGGCAGTAGTGCGTGAAACATCACGTGGTTCATAAGTTCTTATACGATATAAATGCTACGGACTTAAATAATAGAGATTGAGATGAAAGAAGCCGATTCCCATCAATCTCCGTAAGCAATGTGAATTTTGAGAAGAAAACAGAAATTAGGAATCTCGCATTCCAAGTCGTTGTTCAGGCGTCTACAGAAACTGTGACTACTAACGTTATTAAAAAAAGTCTTGCTCCAACATCTAACACGAAATATGCAATTCGTAACGTAAATGATGTGCATTAAAAAAAAAGGCCAAATAAGTTACTATACTTTTGCAGCAAATCCTAGTTGTGCATGCACTTAGTTGGTATTTACTCAAAATGGAGAGAATCACTCTGCGGAATAAAAGAAATGCACCAACATTTTATACGTAATTGCTTATATACTTAACTCTGAGTATAGAGTTTTATTTTGTGTGGATAGAAACTGTTGCTTTTACCTTTAGATACTTACAGATATTATTTAGCTTTTGTTACGGTTCTCTATGTACATAATTTGATCCGAATCCGTTTTAACTTGGGTTTAATGCATTGTCACTTATTGCATATGTTTCGAAATGATTGATATCAAACTTAATGCACAAAGAGGAAGCCACGAATACATACGAAGGTCGCTGTACCATTGTTTTTTACATGTATATATAAGTATAAAATATATATTAATATTACATGGTAGCTAGAGCACTATGTGTTGGAATAAATCTATATGACAAATAATATATAGGGTTATTTACATATTTGGAAAAAACTATGGTTTTTCTGATTAATGTTGAATTTTATACTAGATTAACTTTGCTATCAAAAACGCCCAAAAGCTAGATTAAAGTTCGACAAAATCTAAGGACATAAATATTTATTTCTATTGTTTTTAATTAAGCACAAAGCTACACAATGGGCTATATGTTGTCTGCCCACCACGGGTATCGAAATCCAGTTTTCAGCGATGTAAGGGGACTTCTTTCTATTGAAAAAGATTTTACGAAATGTTTTCTTAAGTAGTTTTGATGGATGATCACAAAACGAAGTGAAGAATTTTTGAAAATCTGTCTAGATTTTATTTATGGAATGTAATTTAAGTTAATTGTAAGGAACGAATTTTAATGACAAATTTCATATAAATTTGAAAGAAAACACTGTTTATTGCTTGAAAACTCAAACGTGATGCTTAAAGAATTTTTTAAACATGTTACCAGAGATAAAATTATCTTTTTGTAGTTCTTAGCGCAAGTTTATTTCAAACAATATTTTTTTTTGTTTAAAACATTATTATGTGTTTTACTACCACCACCTTTATGTCAGTTATTCATGAAAACTGTTCGACTGAATACATATAACAATATTAAAAGGATTTCTTATATATCAGTCTTTTCTTTGTACGCTGTTCTATGTATAGGATACGTTTGTTGTTGAAGGTTGTGTAAAATTATTTCCATTCTATGCGCTGTTCTATGTATAGGATACGTTTGTTGTTGTAGGTTGTGTAAAATTATTTCCATTCTATACGCTGTTCTATGTATAGGATACGTTTGTTGTTGTAGGTTGTGTAAAATTATTTCCATTCTTAAACTCATTAAATGAAAACCTTTTCCAATAACAAAGTCTGGGAGTTCTTTTAATCCTTAGTTATTGATTGATTGTTGTCAAACACAGAGCTACGCAATGGTATATCTGTGCTCTGCACAATGCGGGTATTGAAACTTGATTTTTAATGTTATAAGCCTTCAGACTAATCACTGGCCACTGTTAGTTACACGAGTTTTTGCGTGAAGTCATCTTCTTTCTCTCCTGATATTTTTAAAGCTACCGAGAGATGTCATCCCTGCGGTCAGTGATTATAATACATCAATTATTTAAAAAGATTTCTGTTTCTGTAAGAAGATGTATCGCACACTTTGCTGGGAGCGTTATCTCATCAAATTATAAAGGAAAGAGCGATGTATTCTTTGACTGTTCACTGGAATCATGTAAAATAACAAATTGACATTTAAATCATTCGAAACGCTTGTAATTTAAGAAGTACGCCTTTTTAAAGGAAAGTAGCTCAAACACTAACTCAAATTATAAAATCTAACAGAAACTTTTTACCGGTTGTTCTTGTTGTTTTCTCCTTAAAATCGACAAAGTTCTAAATATGATTTTTGTTTGCTACAGACGTTGTAGTTATGTCTATTTTGTTGTGTAACCAGATCTCCTCTGCTTTTCGTATACGAAATACATTATAGAATACTTTAATATTGAATTTTTGTTTAAATAATTTTAGTTTATTTATTTTATTTAATCTATAACTAATAACACCGTGAATATGGTAGATAAACCAAGCAAACATTTATTGAAAAACATTGCAGATTATTGAGAAAAAATTAAACGTTTCAGTCTGTTTGTTTGTTTTGAATTCCGCGCAAAGCTACACGAGGGCTATCA